CTGCTGCAGGAGGGCCCACCTGGCGCGGCGAGCGTCCTCTTGCTGCTGCTTCCTGTTCCAGGAGGAAGAGGAGGCAGACGAGAAGGAAGGAGGACAAAAAGGAGGAGGAGGAGGACGAGGAGGAGGAGGAGGAGGAGGACGAGGAGGAGGAGGAGGAGGAGGACGAGGAGGAGGACGAGGAGGAGGAGGACCAGGGTAAACCCAAAACACATCAACGGTGTTGCAATAACCCCACCGTCCAGATTGCCTTTTTCACAGGGCCCTGCAAGAATTCATCTGCGAGAAATGCCCCGTTGGAAAACAACCGTCGGAGAATCCGCACTCGTGCCAAAACATAAAATCTGGGACTTCAGCGTCGATCCAATTTTACTGTTGCGCCTTGGCAAATCCTAAATCGCGCGCCAAAACACCATTCCTGGGATTCAACACCCATGCGAATCCTTGAAGTTGCTGCAAGCTTTCAACAATAATGCGCGCAGGGCGAAGGCGGAAACCACATTTTGAAAAGCACACGCCCGTCATCTGTGAAATTGTTGCCAACTGTAATACGGATGCGCGCGGAGCTAAGGCGAGACCCGCATTTTGAAAACGGCCCACCCTCCATCCGCGAAGCAGCTTCAGAACCATACATGGTGAAAAATATCAGACGAAACGCCCGGCCCGCCTAATTACCGAGACGTCTGGGAAGGAGGAGATATCCCAAATCGAAGAAAATCGATGGAGCAGGAAGACGAGGAGGGACGAGGAGAGAAAAAAGGGAGGAGCAGGGAGGAGGAGGAGGAGGATGAGGAGGAGGAGGAGGAAGAAAAACCATAGAGCCATGGAGAACGGAGAAGCGAAACCCGCGCGAGAGGACTGCCTCACAAAGAGCACTGGCTCATCGCAAAACGGGCCGCCCTCCGCCCCCACACACCCTCCTCACGTGCAGGGGAGGCCGCTCGCTCATGGGCGAGGAGCTCACGCAACACGGTCGAAGTACAGTTCAGCGCCTTGTCGCCCCGCGACTCGCTACTCATACGTGATGGCGGTGGTGCTTAGGGGGACGGCCGGTTCAGTTCCTCACTGTGAGGTCCTTCCCGACTATGAACCCCTGCCGAACCATATGACACGTGCAACTGGGTTGGCACCCCAGGGCGAGTAGACACGTAGGCAGGTGGAGGAGCAGGAGGAGCAGGAGCAGGAAGAGGAGGAGGAGGAGGAGGAGGACGACGACGACGACGACCTGCCTCAGCCGCCCTCGGCCCCCGCAGCCGCGGGGCAGTGGCCCCCTCGCAGCAGCGGCGCGCTCTCAGCGCGCGCCCGGGCGCGCCAGGCCGGCGGCCGCGAGCTCGGCGGCCGCCTCCGGGGTCTCGCCAAAGTGGGATGCAGGTTGGCGGCGCGCACGCTGGGGCAGGGGGAAGGGGGCAGGCATCTCAGAAGGAGGCTGGTTCTAAGAAGCCTCCCCTGCTCCCCCCACGCCCCCCCTTGCGCGTGGCCGAGGACAGGAGGGCAGGGGCAGGCCCTGGGATCCTGGCGTGCCGATGAGATCGAGCCGGGCGACGTCGCCCGATTTCGGGCCACGGGGATCCTGGCGTCTCGAATATCTCGAACCGGGAGAGGTCGTCCGATCTCGGGCCACGGGACCCTCGCAGATCGAGGAGGCTCGAAAAATGCATTGGTCGAGCCTCCTCGATCTGCGAGGGGTTCAGAGGTTCTGGCCGTGATTTTTGACGACGCCTGCATCGCAACACCGGAACTCAGAGCAGAGGTCGGGCTAGAACCAAATCGTTCAAAACGGCCCGCAATGAGGACGTGTGAATACGCAGCTGGGTATGTTCCCTAACCGCACCTTGGGATAACCCCCCTCGCTGCTTTTTTCGGAACACAAGTCAAGATGCCGTCTGAGTCGATGCCGTCTAGCGTATGCGACGCGCTTCGGGAGCTCCTGAGTTCCTTCGTCAGGCATGGGCCCGAGGTGCTGCCGCGCGGCGCGCGCAAACTATTCACACGCAGACGCACAACGGCGCATGGAAGACTCCTTCTACGGCGACTCCAGCCGCCTGCTGGCGGGCGTCGTTGTCGTCGTGCCGTCGTCGTCGTCGTCGCCGCCGCCGCCGCCGCTGCCGACACCATCGTCATCGTCGTCGTCGTCGTCGTCGCCGCCGTCATCGTCGTCGTCGTGGTACTCGTGGTAGTCGTCGTCGTCGTCGTCGTCGTCGTCGTCGTCGTCGTCGTCGTCATGCCCACGTCGTCGTCGCAACCGCCGCCGCCGCCGCCGCCACTGCGACCGCCGCCGCCGTCGTCGTCGTCGTCGTCGTCGTCGTCTTCCTCGTCGTCAAGTCCACGTCGTCTTCGTGGTCGTCTTCGTCAAGTCCGCATCGTCGTCGTCGAGATCGTGGCTGTCGTCGCCGTCGTGAAATCTACGTCGTCGTCGTCGTCGTCGTCATCCTGGTAGTCGTTGTCGTCAGGTCCACGTCGTCGTCGTCGTCGCAAGTCCACGTCGTCGTCATTATCAAGTCCACGTCGTCGTCGTCGTGGTCGTCGTCGTCGTTATCGTCGTCCAATCCACAACTTCGTCGTCGTTTTCGTGGACGTCCTCGTCGTGGTGAAGTCCACGTCGTCGTGGTCGTCGCCGCCGCCGCCGCCGCTGCCGACACCGTCGTCGTCGTCGTCGACGTCGTCGCCGCCGTCATCGTCGTCGTCGTGGTACTCGTGGTAATCGTCGTCGTCATGCCCACGTCGTCGTCGAGTTCATCGTCGTCAAGTCCACGTCGCCGTCGTAGTCAAGTCCACGTCGTCGTCGTCGTGGTAGTCGTCATCGTCGGCGCTGTCGTCGTCGTCGTCGTCAAACTCCCGTCGTCGTCGTGGTCCCCGTTATCGTCAAACTCACGTTGTCGCCGCCGTCGTCAAGTCCACGTCGTCGTCGTCCTCGTCAACTCCACCACGGCGTCGTCGTCAAGTTCACGTCGTTGTGATCGTCGTCCTCGTCGTGGTCGGCGTCGACGTCGGCGGCGTCGTCAAGTCTACGTCGTCGTCGTGGTCACCGTTGTAGTCATCATGTCCACGTCGTCGCCGCCGTCGTCGTCGTGGTCCACGCCGTTGTCAAGCTCGCGTCGTCGCCGCCGTCGCCAACTCCACGTCGCCGCCGTCCTCGTCAAGTCCACGTCGTCGTCGTCAAACCCACGTCGTCGTCATCATGATCAAGTCCGCGTCGTCGTCGCCGTGGTCGTCAACGTCGTCGTGGTCGTCGTCGCCGCCGTCGTCGTTAAATACCCGTCGTCGTCGTCACCATCGCAGTCAAGGCTTCGTCGCCATCGTCGTCAAGTTCACGTCGTCGCCGTCGTCGTGAAATTCACCTCGTCGTTGTCGTCGTCTTCCACGTCGTCGTCGAATCCACGTCGTCTTCGGCGTCAAATCCTCGTCGTCGCCGACGTCAAGCCCACGTCGTCGTCGTCCACGCCGTCGTCAAGTCCAAGTCGCCGCCATCCTCGTCAAATCCACGTCGTCGTCGTCGTCGTCAAACCCACGTCGTCGTCATCATGATGAAGTCCGCGTCGTCGTCGTCGTCAACACCACGTCGTCGTGGCGTGATCGTCGTCGTTAGGTCCACGTCGTCGTCGTCGAGACCACGGTGTCGTCGTCGTGGTCGTCAACGTCGTCGTGGTCGTCGTCGCCGTCGTCGTCGTTAAATCCCAGTCGTCGTCGTCACCATCGCAGTCAAGGCTTCGTCGCCATCGTCGTCAAGTTCATGTCGTCGCCGTCGTCGTGAAATTCACCTCGTCGTCGTCTTCCACGTCGTCGTCGAATCCACGTCGTCTTCGGCGTCAAATCCTCGTCGTCGCCGACGTCAGCCCACGTCGTCGTCGTCCACGCCGTCGTCAAGTCCACGTCGCCGTCGTCAGCTCGACGTCATCGTCGTGGTCGCCGTCGTCGTCGCCCACGTCGTCGTCGTCGTCGTCGCCGTCGCTCGCCGTTGTCGACGTCCAGCCCACGTCGTCGCCGTCGTCGTCAAGTCCACATCGTCGTCGTCGGCGTCGTCCACGGTGTCGTCAAGTCCACGGCGTCGTCGCCGCCGTCATGAAGTCCACGTCGTCGTCGTCGTCGTCGTCGGCGGCGGCTCGGGCCGCGGCGTAGGCGTCGTCGTCGCCGTCGTCGAGCTCACCTCGTTGCCATCGTCGTCCACGTCGTCGTCGCCCGCGCCGCCGTCATCGTCAAGTACACGCCGTCGTCGTCGTCGTTCGCAAGGCCACGTCGTCGCCGTCGAAGTAGGCGCCGCCGTCGTCAAATCCACGCCGCCGTCGTCGTCAAGCCCACGTCGTCGTCGTGGCTCGCAAGACCACGTCGCCGCCGTCGAACTATGCGCCGCCGTCGTCGGCAAGTCCACGGCGTCGTCGTCTCACACGCACGCGAGATTTTCGCAGCCGCCGCCGTCATCAAGTCCACGTCGACATCGTCAAGTCCGCGTCGTGGTCGTCGTCAAGTCAACGTCGTCGGCGTCGTCGAGTCCACGTCGCCGTCGTGGTCGTCACGGCCACGTCGTCGTCGCCGACGCCAGCGTCAAGTGCACGCCGTCGTCGTCGTCGCCGCCGACGTGAAGCCAACGCAGCCGCGGTCGCCAAGTCCACGTCGTCCTCGTCGTGGTCGTCGTCGGCGAGTCCACGTAGCCGTCGTCGTCGTCACAGTCCCCGTCCTCAAGTCCACGTCGTCGTCGTCGCGGCGTCGCCGTCGTCGCCGCCGTCGTCAAGACCACGTCGTCGCCGTCGTCGTCAAGTCCTTGTAGTCGCCGTCGTTGTCGTCCACGCCGTCGTGAAGTCCACGTCGTCGCCGTCGCCGTCGCCAAATCCACGTCGTCGGCGCCAAGTCCGCGTCACCGTCATCGTCGTCGTCGTCGTCCGCGTCGTCGTCGTCGCCGACCGTGGTCGTCAGCGTCGCACTCGTCGTGGTCCAGCCCACGTGGTCGTCAAGTCCACGTCGCCGTCGTTGTCGTCAAGTCCACGTCGTCGTCAGCGCGTCCACGTCGCCGCCGTCGTGAAGTCCACGTCGTCAGCGTCACCCGCGCCGTCGTCGCCGTCGTCGAGTCCACGTCGCCGTATTCGTCGGCAGCAGCATCGGTGTTGTCGCCGTCGCCGTCGTCGTCGCCGTCGTCGCCCACGCCGTCGTCAAGTCCACGTCGTCACCGTCGTCGTCGTCGAGTCCACGCCTTCGCCGTCGTCAAGTCCACGTCGACGTCGTCATCGTCGTCGTTGTCGCCGTCGTCAAGTCCACGTCGTCGGCGCCGTCGTCGTCGTCCACACCGTCGTCAAGTCCACGCTGTCGTCGTCACCGTCCACGTCGTCGTCGTTAGTTGCACGTCGTCGTCGCCATCGTCGTAAAGTCCACGGCGTCCTCGTCGCCGTCGTCGGCGGCGTCGTCGTCGTCGTAGTCGCCATAGTCGTCGTCGAAGTCCATAATTCCACGCCGTCGTCGTTGTCGTCACGTCCACGTCATCGTCGTCGTCGGCGCCGACGTCGTCGTCGTCGTCGTCGCCACCACCGTCGCCATGTCGTTGTCGTCGTCGTCCTCGCCGCCGTTGTCGTCAAATCCCAGATCAACGTCGTCGTCTTCAAGTCCACGTCGTCGTCGTCCACGTCGTCGTCGAGTCCACGTCGTCGACGTCGTCGCCCGCGTCACTGTCGTCGTCAAGTGCACGTCGTCTTTGTCGGCGGCGGCGGCGTCCTAGGCGGCGGGGTCGGCGTCGTCGTCGTCGCCGTCAAGGTCCACGTCGTCGTCGTCCACGTCGTCGTCGTCCAGGTCGTCCTCAAGTCCACGTCGTCGTCGTCGCCATCGTCGGGTGCATGTCGTCGTCGTCGCCCACGTCGTCGCCAAGTCCACGTCGTCGCCGTCGTCGCCGCCGTCAACTCCACGTCGTCGACGTCGACGTCGTCGGCTGCGGCGTCGTCGGCGGCGTCGTCGTCATCGCCGCCGTCGTCGTCGGCGTCGGCGTCCAGGTCGTCGTCGTCTTCGTCGTGGTCAAGTCCGCTTCTCCGTCGTCGCCGTCGCAGTCGTCAAATTCACGTCGTCATCGTCGTCGACGTCGTCGTCGTCCACGCCATCGTCAAATCCACGTCGTCTTCGTCGTCGTCAAGTCCACGTCGTCGTCCACGTCGTCGACGTCAGAACCACATCGTCGTCGTGGGCGGCGTCGTCGGCATCAGCGTCTGCGTCGGCGTCGTCGTCGTCGTCGCCGCTGCGTCGGCGTCGTCGTCGTCGTCCACGCCGTCGTCAAGTTCACGTCGTCGTCGTTGCCGTCGTCAAGTCCACGTCGTCGTCTTCGGCGGCGGAGGCGTCGTCGGCGTCGCCATCGTCGTCGTCAAGTCCACGTCATCGTCGTCAAGTCCACGTCGTCGTCGCCCACGTCGTCGTCGTCATCGTACACGCCGTCGACGTCGTCGCCGTCGACATCAACTCCACGTCGTCATCGTCGTCCACATCATCGTCGCCCACGTCGTCGTGAATGCCACGTCGTCGTGAAGTCCTTGTCGTCGTCGTCGCTGGCGTCGAGTCGACGCCGTCGTCGTCGTCGGCCGCGGCGGCGGCGTCGTCGGCGGCGGTGTCGACGACGGCGAGTGTCGGTCCACGTCGTCGTTGTCGTCCACGTCGTCGTCGCCAACGTCATCGTGAAGTCCACGTCGTCGTCGCCGTCGTCGCCGGCGTCAAATCCACGTCGTGTTCGGCGTCGCCGGCGGCGGCGGCGTCGTCGGCTGCGTCGTCGTCGTCGTCGAGTCCACGTCGCCGTCGTCGTTGTCCACGTCGTCGTCACCATCGTGAAGGCAACGTCGTCGTCGTTGTTGTCGTCGTCGTCATCAAGTCCACGTCGTCGTCGTCGGCGGCGGCGGCGTCGTCGGCAGCGTTGTCGTCGTCGTCGTCGTCCACGTCGTCGTCAAGTCCACGTCGTCGTCGTCCACGTCGTCATCAAGTCCACGTCGCCGCCGCCGTCGTCGTCGTCGAATCCGCATCGTCGTCGTCGGCGTCGTCCGTCCACGTCGTCGTCAAGTCCACGCCGCAGTAGTCGTCGTCGTCGTGAAGTCTACGTCGTCGCCGGCGGCGGCGGCAGCGGCGAAAGCGGCGGCGTAGGCGTAGGTGTCGTCGTCGTCGTCGTCGTCGTCGTCAAGCCTCGTTGTCATCGTCGTCCACGTCGTCGTCGCCCGCGTCGTCGTTAAGTCCACGTCGTCGTCGTAAGTCCACGTCGTCGTCGTCGGCGGAGTCGCCGGCGGCGTCGTCGTCGGGGTCAAGTCCGCGTCACCGTCGTCGTCGTCCACATCGTGGTCAAGTCCATGTGTCGTAGTCGTCGTCGGCAGCGGCGGCGTCGCCGTCGTCGTCTAGTCCACGTCGTCGTCCACGTCGTGGTCAAGTCCACGTCGCCATCGTCGAGTCCACGTCGTCATCGACGTCGTCGTCGTCCACGTCGTCGTGGAGTCCACGTCGTCAGATCCACGTCGTCGTCGTCATCGTCGCCGTCGTCGGCGGCGGCGTCGTCGGCGGCGGCGACCACGCGTCGTCGTCGTCAAGTCCACGTCGTCGTCGTCGAGGTTGAGTCCGTCAAGTCCACGTCGTCGTCGACGGCGGCGGCGTCGGCGTCGTCGTCTTTGCCGTCGTCATGTCCACGGCGTCGTCGTCGTCCACGTCGTCGTCAAGTCCACGTCGTCGTCGTTGTCTTCGACGACAAGTCCACGTCGTCGTCGTCGACGTCAATCCAAGTCGTCGTCGTTCTCGTCAATTCCACGTCGTCGTCGTCGATGCAAGGCCACGTCGTCGTCGTCGACCTCCGCGTCGTCGTCGTCCACGTCGTCGTCACCGTCCAGGTCGTCATCGTTTTCGTCGTCGTCCAGTCCACGTCGCCGTCGTCTTCGACGGCGGCGGCGTCGTCGGCGGCGGCGGCGGTTGCGTCGGCGTCGGCGTCGTCGTCGCCAAGTCCACGTCGTTGCTGAGTCCACGTCGTCGTCGTCGTTGTGAAGTCCACGTCGTCGTCCAAGTCGTCGTCAAATCCACATCGTCGTCGTCGTCAAAGTCAAGTCCGCGTTGTCGTCGTCGTCTTCGTCGCCAACGTCGTCGTCAAGTCTACGTCGTCGTCGACGTCAAGTCCACGTCGTCGTCGTCGACGTCGTCAAGTCCGCGTCGACGGCGGCGGCGGCGACGGCGGCGGCGTCGGCGTCGTCGTCATCATCCTCCACGTCGTCGTCGTCCACGTCGTCGTCGCCCACGTCGTCGTCAAGTCCACGTCGTCGTCCACGTCGTCGTCGTCGTTGTCGTCGTCGTCGTCGTCGTTGTCGTCCAGTCCACGTCGCCGTCGGCGTCGTCGGCGGCGGCGTCTTCGACGGCGGCGGCGTCGGCGGCGGCGTCGGCGTCGTCGTCAAGTCCACGTCGTCGTCCACGTCGTCGTCGTCCACGGCGTCGCTGAGTCCACGACGTCGTCGTCGACGTCAAGTCCACGTCGTCGTCGTCGTCGTCGGCGGCGGCGTCGGCAGCGTCGTCGTCGTCGGCGGCGGCGGCAGTCGCGGCGGCATCGGCATCTGGCGCGGCCGCCTCCGACGAGTGCGCCTCTCGCGGGGTGCCCGCGGCAGGGGCGGCCTGGCGCCGAATGAGGACGCCAGAGGGACGAGGACGACTACGACTACGACGATGATGACGACGAGGACGGCCCCGGCAGTCGGCGTCGCGAATTGTGCCAAGGCCCTCCTCCTCCTCCCCCTCCTCCTCCTCCTCCTCTCGCCCCCGTCTTCGTCCTTTTCAACCTGCTCGTCGTCCTCCTCGTCGTCCTCCTCCTCCACCTCCTCCACCCCCTCCTGCTCCTCCCCCCATCTTCGTCCGTCCTCTTCGTCTGTCTCGTGCTCCTGCTTCTGATGCTCCTGTCATCCCTTGGCGCGGCTACCCCTCCGAAAAGACTACGAAAAATCGCGACGGAATGCTTTTCTGCCGCTTTCGGCCTCCAGGGGGCCCTTGCCGGGCCCTGGGGCGGTAAAAAGACGGCTCGGGACGAGTACCTGGCCCCAGGGAAGTGGTCCAGCCCTCCAGGGGCCCGCCCTGTGAACTAAATCACTGCTGTTGGGCAACGATAGGGGGTGACTCGCATAAGGGGGGGATGCATCGACCTGGAATCGGCGATACATCGCCGATAGATCGACGATAGGCATGCGATCGTGAATCCGCACCTCCCTGGGCAGGTTGGGGCTATCGGGCCCCTATCGGCGATCAATGGGCGATTGGGGGTCGATGAGCCCTACCCCTATGCATATCCCCCTCTATCGTTGCCCCTGACGGCCCCCCCCCGGAAGTTCCGACCTTCTCCCTGGGGCCAGCATTTCCACCTGAGTCGTCTTCGGCTCTTTTTTGGTGAAGATGGGGAAACACACCAACGCTTTTTCCGGCCACGCACTGAGACCCGCACAGGGCAGCGGGTCCTAGTGCATACGGGATCCTTGTGTATACATGTGTCGTGGCTTCCCCGGGGAAACGAAGAAAAAAGTATACACCACACCACCCCGACGTCGTCCCCGACCCTCAAAAAGTCCTGATGGGATTGATAAACAGCCCGCCTCTGGTAATGTATATGTTCCAGTCTCCGACTTCTCCTCCGGGCCAGCCTTTCCACCTGAATTGTCCTAGGCTGTTTTTTGCACGAAGACGTGGCAGCAGAAGGCCCCTGAAACGCGACCCTGGGGGAAACGCTCCCCAGACTTTCGGCGACAGCCGAACGTCTTGTGCACACTATGGCACCAGTCTTCTATACACCAGCGTTCCGACAGAGCCTGCTGGACTCGACATCGTTCAAGTGTCTCTGCAGTGACACATGCAAAAGCCTGCAGTGGCCCCGGACTCGGGGCTCGCTCGGGCAGAGGTGGCGGCGAGCGATGGGGGGAAGGATTGCAAAAAAACCCTTCGAAGGATTGCAAAAAAACCCTTCGAGAGATTGCAAAAAAACCCTTCGAGAAGGGGCGGGCCTCCTCGAAAGGCTCGGGAGCCCCCCCGGCCTTCTGAGAAGTTGCCCAAGCCTCCCCCGAACACACAGGAATCTTCTCAGGAGGGGCGAGGGTCCCGCCGCCTTCTGAGGGGGCCTTCTCCTTCTCGTTCTCCCCCTCGCTCGCCACCGAGGAGTGACCCTGGGCTTTTTTTTTTCACGGCAACAAGGTAGAGGAGAGGGAGGAATCCGCTGCCTCTCAGAGAGGCTATCCGGATCGCGCGTGACCCTGGGCAAAAGTGATCTCTGGTGCGCGGGGCCGCGGGGAGGCCAAACCCGAGCGCACAAGACGCTGTTGTCGCGTCGCGTTCGGTCATCTGGGGGCCGTGTGCCCGCACCGAAGGTCACTCCGGCGACGGGTCACTCTTACGTGTAGCGGACCTTTTCGCGACGGCCCTGGGGCCCGGCGAGGGCCCCCAAAGGGCGAAAGCTGTGAAAAGTCTGTTCGCCGTGTCTCTCTATTTCCATGCTGCAATGATGTCAAAGGCCGCCGACGGCGATCAACTTCCGTGCTGGGTCTTTCAACGAGCCTGGGGGTCTTGGAGGGAGCCTCAGGGCCAGCGGGGCGGGCTTCTGAGGAGCCAAGGGAGAGCGCCTTCTAAGCAGAGGCCGCCCCCTGGTAGACGTTTGCAGCCGGACCTAGGACAGAAGGATATCCCACAAGAACACGAGACGCTCTGCCGGCCCAAACTGAAGTACATTCGAGGGCAGCCTCCCCCAGGATGCACAAGAACATCCAACAAGCACGAAGAACACTAGGGTACCCTCCCCGAGCCGACCTCGATCTCATACTTCGGTCCGGCCGCAAGAAGAGGAGGCGAAGGAGCAGGAGGCGAGGCCATAGAATAAAGCTCTCAGGGACGAGTTCTGAGGGCGCCCCCGGCCCCCAGGGGTGGGCTGCGGTACGCCCCTCTGCTACCCCCTGACAGACAGAGAGAAGCCGCGCACAACATAGGCGCGTTGGCAGTAATGGTGAAACAGAGACGATTGGGTGAAACGGCGAGCGCGCTAAGCATGGAAGGAGGGGGAGGGGGAGGAGGAGGAAAAGGAAAAGGAGGAGAAGGAGGAGGACGTTGACGACGACGATGAGGAGGAGGAGGAGGAGGAGGGAGAGGAGGCGTAAAGGCGTCAGAGACAGAAAGTATATTGCTTGGCGGGGGGGCGCTGTCAGAAGGTCGGCCCCATCACCCTGCCTTTCTTTCTATTCCTTGGCGCGCCAAGCCGCCGCGTCAGAGGAGCAAAAGCCGCGCGAGTCGCGCCAGACGGGGAGAGCCCAGCGCAGACCCACGAAACATCCGCGCACAGCCAAGATGTATCCACGCACGCCGCTTCAGAGTCGGGCCCGGGGGCGTCGAGTATCTCTTGAGTGGCGGACGCGGGTATCTTACCGCCCCTGGGGCCAGGAAGCTGCCCGCACCAATCGGATCCAGGGCAGGACTCCGTCGGCTGCGTCTGTGGATGGCTTCTGGCAGTGCAATCCGCGCGGACCTCCGAACACTTCGCAGGCAGTGGGCGACGAAATCTGCACCTGGCTTGGCCAGGAGGGCGTATGCTCAGCTCGAGGAAGAGAAAACGGGATCGAACTTACGCGACCGAGGAACCCCACATACTTATCATGTCTGGCGTGATGACAGCTGACGTGTGAAACTTGCGACAATGATGCAGGTGGCCGTTGTTTCGCCGATACCGTTGGCGGCGCCTGTCAAACCTTGGGAGCCTGAAAGCCCTGAGGGGATCCAGGACGAGCAAAAGCCTGGGCGTCACTGGCTAACCGCCACTTTGACCCCACAGGCTGGCTGGGCCTTCGACGTCGCACAAAGAGTCGATGCCGCGCTCAGAGACCACCCCCTGTGGTGTCAAGGAAGTGCCAAGCCTGCCATGGTTTGCGAGCCCGAAACAAAGAGCGACCCCAACCCCAGCTCACCCCCTGTGGCGTCGAGGATGTGCCACGCCTGAGATGTCTTGCGAGCCCGAAAGGGATAGCGCTCCCACCCACAGAGAACCCCATGTGGTGTCGAGGAAGTGCCACGTCTGCCACGCTTTGCGAGCCCGAAACAGATTGCGCTCCCACCGCCAGCGCACCCCCTGTGGTGTCGAGGAAGTGCCACGCCTGCCACGCTTCTGCGAGCCCCAAACGGATAGCGCTCCTACCCACAGCGCGCTCCCTCTGGTGTCAACGAAGTGTCAAGCCTGCCATGCTTTGCGAGCCCGAAACGGATAGCGCTCCCACCCCCACCACACCCCCTGCGGCGTCGAGGAAGTGCAACGTGCGCCACGCTCTGCGAGCCCGAAGCGGATAGCGCCCCCCCCCCAGAGCGCACCCCCTGTGGCGCCGAGGAAATGCCACGCCTGCCATGTCCTGCGAACCTGCAACGCATAGCGCCCCCACCCCCAGCGCACCCCCTGTGGCGTCGAGGAAATGCCGCGCCTGCCATGCCTTGCGAGCCTGCAACGCATAGCGCCCCGACCCCCATCGCACCCCCTTATGGTGTCGAGAAAGTGCCACGCCTGCCGTAACCTGCGAGCCTGGAGCGTATAGAGACCGCGCTCAGGGACCCCCTCCTGCGCACCCCCTCTGGTGTCGAGAAAGCGCCACGCCTGTCGTACCTTGTGTCTGTGCCTGCGTCTGTGTTGTGTGGTGTGTGGTGTGTGGTGTGTAAGTGTCTGATGTGTGTGCGGCCGTGTCTGTGTGTGTGGTTGTGTGTCTGTGTGTCTGTGTCTGTAGGGGAGGAAGGAAGAGCAGGGGAGGAGGGAGGTGTGAGAAAGACGCGGGTGAGACGCGGGTGGGAAGAAAACCAGACCCCCAGTAAGCATGTGGGGGAAAAACCATCGTGGGCGATGTGAATTACAGTCAATCCGTGTAATTTGTTGAAGAAGTTTCCGTGGAGCTCACGTCATCCTCACCGCCGGCGCGCGAGGAGGTCAGGCCTCACCGCGCCCCCAGGGACCATTTCCGGGGCGCGCGCCCGGGCGTGTCCCAGCAGGGCTCTCGCTCGAGACGTCCTCGCAAAGTCGACCCCCAGCGCGCGAGGAGGTCAGGCCCCACCGCTTTGAGGGGCGCGCGCTGGGCGTGTCCCAGCAGGGCTCTCGCTCGAGACATCCTCCTAAAGTCCACCCCCAGCGCGCGAGGAGGTCGGGCCCCCTTCGCGCCCCCAGGGACCATTTCCGGGGCGCGCGCCGGGAAGCGCCGGGCGTGTCCCTGCCAGAAGAGCTCTCGCTTGAGACATCCTCGAGAAGTCGACCCTGGCGCGCGAGGAGGTCGGGCCCCATCGCGCCCTCAGGGACCATTTCCGGGGAGCGTTCTGGGGCGTGCGCGGCGTCCCTGCAGGGCTCTCGCTCGAGACATCCTCGCAAGGCGCGCGAGGAGGTCAGGCCCCACCGCGCCCCAGGGACCATTTACGGGGCGCGCGCCGGGCGTGTCCCACATGGTTAGCAAAAGTCGACCCTCGGATCGCGAGGAGGTCCGGCCCCACCCTGCCTGCCCCAGGGGACCATGTCCGGCTCGCGCGCTGGGGCGCGCATGGGCGTGTCCCAGCAGGGCTCTCGCTCGAGACACCCTTGCACAGTCGATCCCTGGCGCGCGAGGAGGTCAGGCCCCACCGCGCCCCGCGCCGGGGCGCCCCAGGCGTGTCCCAGCCCAAGGGTCTCGCTCGCGGCATCCTCGCAACGTCAACCCCCGCCGCGCAGAGTCGCCCCATGCCCGACGCTAGAAGGAGGAGGAGGAGGAAGAGGAGGAGAATTCGAGGAGATAACTGGAGGCGGAGAATAGGAGGAGGAGGAGGAGGAGGAGGAGGAGGAGGAGGAGGAGCAGGGAGGAGGAGGAGGAGAGGAGGCGAAAGAGGAGAAGGAGAAGGAGGAGGAGAGGAGGAGAAGGAAGAGGAAGAAGAGGAGGGGGAGGATGAGGAGGACGAGGAGGAGGAGAGGAGGAGGAGGAGAGGAGGAGGAGAGGAGGAGAGAGGAGAGGAGAGGAGGAGAAGGAGGAGGAGGAGGAGGAGGAGAAGGAGGAGGAGGAGGAGAGTAGGAGGAGGAGAATTGGAGGAGGAGAATTGGAGGAGGAGGAGAAGGAGGAGCAGGAGGAGAAGGAGGAGGAGAGTTGGAGGAGAGTTGGAGGAGGAGAATTTGAGGAAGAGGAGGAGGAGGGGGAGACGGAGGAGGAGCTGGAGGAGGAAGAGGAGGAGGAGGAGGAGGAGGGCAGTGGAAACCCAAGAGTCATCAACGATGTTGGAATAACCCCCTCCTCAGAGCTCCCTCTTTATAGGCCCCTACAACGGCTCATTTCCACTGAGGGAACTGCCTCGTTGGAAGACAACCGTTTGAAGACCCTGAAGCATGCCAAAGCATGGCTTTCGGGATTACAACGCCACGGATCAACCTGACTGCTGCGTCTTGACCAGCTTGAATCTTGTCAGAACACCATTCCTGGGACTTCAGCACCGCGAATCAGCGTAACCGCTGCACCCTAATACTCCTGAATCCGTCCCAAACACAAGTTCTGCTTTCTTGATCATGGGAACCCGTGTTTTGTCATTATTGGTTGTTGTTTTTTCTTCTTTTTTAAAACAAAAAAACGACTGTGCGCGGCGTTACGGCGAGAACCGCATTTTGAAAAGGAACCGCCCTCGATCCGTGAATCTCTCCCAAATGATTAATAAGAGAATGCGCGCGGCGCTGAGGCGAGAGCCGCATTTGACCCGCTGTCAATCCGTGAACCTCTTGCGACTGTTTTAAAACATGTGCGCGGTGCTAAGGCGAGAACTACATTTTGAAAACCACTCGCCTTCAACCCGTGAAGTTTTTGCAAATCTAAAACGAATGTGCGCGGCGCTAAAGCGAGATCCACATTTTGAAAACGACCCGCCCTCCATCCGTGAAGCTGTTGTCCATGTTTAGGCTTCAGGGTCAAAAGTGGTGAGGACGTCTCAGACGAAACGCCCGGCCTGCCCTAAAAACTGGCCTCGGGGTGCGACAGGGAGAAGTTACTGATAAGGAAAAGGAATGGAGGAGTAGGAGAGGAGGAGGAGGAGGAGGAGGAGGAGGAGGAAGAGGAGGAGGAGGAGGAGGAGGAGGATGGATTTCATCAGAGCTGTAGAGCGTTCTCTCCCATGCACTGCGGTGGTCACACATGTAAGGCACATCGTTCGCATCTGGCAGGCTCTGGCTCTCGCTCGAGACATCCTCGCAAGGCGCGCGAGGAGGTCAGGCCCCACCGCTTGAGGGGCGCGCGCCGGGCGTCTATTTACGGGGCGCACGCAGGGCGTGTCCCAGCAGGGCTCTCGTTCGAGACATCCTCCTAAAGTCCCCCCCAGCGCGCGAGGAGGTCAGGCCCCATCGCGCCCTCAGGGACCATTCACGGGGCGCGCGCCGGGGCGCACTGGGCGTGTCCCAGCAGGGCTCTCGCTCGAGACATCCTCGCAAAGTCGACCGTCCACGCGCAAGGAGGTCTGGCCCCAAGGACCATGTCTGGGGAGCGCGCCAGGGCGCGCTGGGCGTGTCCCAGCAGGGCTCTCGCTCGAGACATCCTCCCCCGGACGATGACCACCACCACCACCACCACCACAGTCATTATCATCCTCCTCCTTCTCATCACCACCACCATCACCATCACAATCACCATCACCATCACCACCACCATCACCACCATCATCATCATCATCATCATCATCATCATCATCATCATCATCATCATCATCCTCATCATCACTATCATTGTAATCATAATCATAATCAACATCAGCACCATGATTGTAACCATCATCATAATCAGCATCAGCATCAGCATCAGCATCAGCATCATCCTCGTCATCATCATCATCATCATCATCATCATCATCATCATCTTCATCTTCATTTTCATCAGCATCATCATAATCCTCATCAGCATCATCATCAGCATCATCATCATCATCGTCATCGTCATCATCATCATCATCTTCATCATCATCACCATCATCTTCATCAACAGCATCAGCATCATCATCATTATCATCATCCTCGTCATCATCAGCATCATCATCACCGTCATCGTCATCGTCATCGTCATCATCATCGTCGTCATCATCATCGTCATCATCATCACCACCACCATCATCAGCAGCATCCTCATCATCATTATCGTCATCCTCATCCTCATCGTCATCGTCATCGTCATTATCATCATCATCATCATCATCATCATCAACGTCATCATCATCATCATCATCATCATCATCATCATCATCATCTTCATCTTCATTTTCATCAGCATCATCATAATCCTCATCAGCATCATCATCAGCATCATCATCATCATCATCATCGTCATCGTCATCATCATCATCATCATCATCATCATCTTCATCATCATCACCATCATCTTCATCAACAGCACCAGCATCATCATCATTATCATCATCCTCGTCATCATCAGCATCATCATCACCATCATCATCATCATCATCATCATCATCATCATCATCATCATCATCAACGTCATCATCATCATCATCATCATCATCAAGGCGGTAACGACAACGACCGCGACCGCGACTACGACTACGACTCCGACGACGGCGACCACGACCACGACCACGACCACCACGACGGTAACGGCAACGGCAGCTATGGTGGCGGCGGCGACGGCTTCGACGACGACGACGAAGACGACGACGACGGCGACCACGGCGATGGCGACCACGACACTGTGGCCTGGCACGCGCGGCAGCGCGGGCTCCCCTGCCCCGAGAGCGCCGCGGCGTCCTGCGGCGCGGGAGGATCCGACTGCTGCTGCTGCCAGTCGACCCTCTCGTCCTCCTCGCCCTCCTCAATCTCGTCCGTTTCGTCCTCCTCTTCCTCACCGTCGGCCTCCTCGTCCTCCTCGTCGGCCTCCGTGTCCTCCACCTCCTCCTCCTTCTCCTCCTCCTTCTCCTCCTCGTGATTCGCCTCCTCATCGTCCTCTTCCTCCTCCTCCTCGTACATATCCTCCTCCTCCTCCTCCTCCTCCTCCTCCTCCTCGCTGCTCTCCCCTCATCTGCGCTCGTCCGTCGCATAAACAGAAACTATCGGGGGTCCGCGCGGATTTCTTCGGTCGGAGCTGAGCCCCCCTCCCTGGCCACAGCGGGCTGGGGTCGGCGCCAGAGGCGCCGCGTCTCGACTGGCCCCCCTCTGACTGAAGGATCTCAAGTCTCTCGGCCTGCCCTGGCAGCTCAGGGAGTCAACAGACCTGATCTGGGCGACACATCGCTAATCGATCGCCTAGGGAACCCCGCTGTCGAAACCGCACGTCCCAGAGCGAGAGGTGGCCTCTCAGGCCCCATCGGCGACGAATGTGCGATTTGTGGTCGATGCATCCCCACCGAGCCTACCCTATCCTGGGATCCGACGTCTCGAAAAGAATACCACATGGTGAAAAATCACGGCCAGAGCCCCAAACCCCATCTTTCTGCTGCATCCTTCGATCTGGATCGATCTGTGCTGGTCCCAGGGCCCGAAAGTGGGCGAACACACTTGGTGTGGCAACCAAAGAAAAACACGCCCGGGTCTCAGGGTATCCTTTGCTAGCGCTGCCCATTATTGGAGTGGGTGGGTCGGAGAGCTGCAGAGGGTAGCCCGCCGCGCAGTACCGGTGGGGCGGTGCATGCTCGGGGCAGGGCCGCGGCAGGGGCGGCGACCAGCCGGTCAGGGCAAGGCACTTGCAAAAGGGGCAGGGCCGTGGCAAGGGCAGCGACCTTAGGGCGGCGAAATCTGTACATGGCCGGGCCCATCCTGAACCCAGCAGCGGTGTATGCGCAACGCCCTCGTGGCGTGGTCAGGAGGGCGTATACACAGCTCCTAGGTTCAGGATGGGCCTGGCCTGGGAGCACTGGATCCGTATACTTAGATCTCGTCGCCCGAGACCAGTCGTCAGGGGCAGGGCCGCGGCAGGGGCAAGGCCGCAGAGCGGGCACGGCTGCGGTGAGGGCAGGGCCGCGGCGGGAGCAGGGCAGCGACCGGTCGGCAAGGGCAGCGACCAGTCGGCAAGGGCAGGGCCGCGGCAGGGGCAGCGACAGGGCGGGAGCTGCCAGAGGTGGTCCTGGCCCCGGGTGTCCGCGGCCTCTCGCGCCATTTTGAAGCCCTGGGGGCCCGTTGGTGCCTCGTGAGGGTTGCTCCGGAAGCCACGTCTGGAGGCCTCCTAGATGGGGTCGGGATGCATGGGGTCGGCGATGCATCGCTGATGCATTGGCGATGCACTGGCGACGTCGGCGATGCATCGGCGCCGTCGGCGTGGGGAAAATCGGGTTCCATATCGAGCCGCATCGCCGATGCATCGGCGATGCGGTGCGATCCTCCGACCCCATCTGCTCGGACCCCATCTGGGAGGCCTAGAAATTTGGCCTCATGGGACCCAAGGCCGCGCTAACGGCGATGTTGGTTAACGGCGATATTGGGGATGTGTTTTTTGACGACGTTGACCTCGCGCTGAACAAACTGCTTGAAAACGCGAGCGAACTTCTCCTACAACTGGCCACCTACAATGCCGAAGCCCACTTCGCCGTTACTTACACGGCGACTCCGGAAACCCTGGGCCCAACGTGCACTTCCGCCGCCTTCCGCCAGCCTTCCTCTTCATTTGGGGGGAACGCAACCCATTGCCCTGGAAATTTCGCGGGGGCGATAACAACTACCGAGCAAACGCCGCGGCGCGATCGAAGTCCGACCGCAGCCCGCACCGAGACGAGGGCGGGCGCGGGGCGACGAAGCAGCATTGCCTCAGCCCCGTTCCCGCGCACCCCCGCTTCTGCAGGAGCGGCACGTGCGAGGGCGGCTCCCCCCCCCCCGGTGGAGAGAGGCGCGGCTGGCCCCCGCATCCAAGCGTGGCCCGATCCTGAACTACTTCTCGAGCTGAGTTCGTTGCGAAGGAAGCGGGGGCGGGAGGTGGAAGGGCGACGGAAGAGGGCGCTGCGCGGAGAAAGAGAGAGAGAGAGAGAGAGAGAGAAAAAGAGAGAGAGAGAGAGAGAGAGAGATAGGAAAACGCACAAGGCACCCCTCTCACGCGCCCCTCTCCTGCTCATTATTATTATTATTCCCCCCCGTTGCCCGACTTTGCCGCAGAGCCCCCTTGGACGCCGCGGCCTCCGCCTCCTTGGCCGCCCTCGAACGCGCCGCGACGTCGCAGTCGCACTGCAACTGAATTCCGACCGCCGCGAGTGCCCCATTGACCCTGAGCACCTCCAGCGCCTCCTTGAGCCTCGGGTAGTGGTTCATCGCGAAGATCCACTTCACCTCTGCTTCCTTATCCTCGTCTTCCTTGCCGGTGGTCTTCACCCTGAAGCACCCGGTCGACGCGAACTTCTCCTGGGGGCCCTGGGCCAGCTTGGCCGTGAACATCAGCGCCTCGAGCGCCTGCTTTGCCTCGATCGGCCACGCGCCTTGCCCCGCGCCCGCCGCCGCCTGCTTCTTCTTGCCACCCGCCGCCTCTGCCGCGCGGAAGATCACCGCCTTCGTCAGCGCGTCGGGCCTCTTGCCCAGGGGGGTGCCCATGCAGTCCTCGCTGGTCTCCTGACCCTTCTCCTTCGCCTTGCGACCCTCGTCCTCGTGGCCCGCCATCGCCCGGCCCAGCGCCGTCGCCATCTCCTGGGCCGACTTGAGCGGGATAACAAAGTTGTCGCCCCGATGCGACGCCCTCGACATGTCCTCGCGCTGCAGGGCCAGGCGCGCCGGGGCCTTGCCCAGGGGCCCGCGACGTCGCGCGCCTCGCCCTTGCCCTCGCCCCCCCCCCCCCGCCTGTGCCGCCGGCTTGTTGTGGCCGCTCGCCGCCGTCAGTTGCGCCTCTCCGATCGGCGGGGACATCGGCGCCAACCTCTGGCGGGGCTGGCAGGTGGGGGGGGGGGGGCGTCTGCCGCTGGGGGCCCCTGCAGCATTGATTGGGCCTGGGCGCCATCGGGGCGAGCAGGGCAACGGTTCGATCGGACGTGTCGCATGAGAATATACTCCCTTGTGGTAGATCTCACGCAGCACGGGAACTTCCTGTTTCAAACCTGTGTCGGCCACTATCTCTGCCGCCGGGTTCGCATGCACTTTGCGCGCCGCATTCTTGTGATTTGCTAACCCCTTTTTCCCCGTTGCATATTTGACTGCGCGCGTCGCACTCCCGCCAAGTAGCTGCGGAAAAATCTGCCGCTGGGCCCGCAACAACGCCACGCGCGCACGTCGGAAGCATCGCGGCTCCAATGTCGCAAGCCAGCGCAGCCACGGCTCAGTCAGATCCATGGCACTATGGACCATGGAGAAGAAACTGGCGGCGCGCCTCACCCTGTCCCTGCGAGTCCACCGTCGACCAGAAGTGGCGCACGTCATCCTTCAGCGGCGCCAGCATGCCCGACTGTTAGATGCGCCCTACCATCGAGAAAGAAAGCCGCCCGAAGCCGACCGCCCCGACCGCCAGCGTCGGGTCGTGCGCATCCTCCCTCGGCTCCCGAAAAGCGGGCCGCAGCACCAGTCGTCTCAGTCGCAGAGTGCCCATGGCCGCCGGCGTTCTTGCCATCCTCCTAATCTCCCGATTGGTCTTCTTGTAGAGGTGGGCTGGCGCGTTCAGCAGGCCCCGTGGCTTCCGCACCTGCCACCTCTCAAACTTATTCATCTCCCTCATGGTGGGATTGGCGACCTCCAAGCGATGGAAGCACGCCGACCGAACCGAGGCCTTCATCGCCGGATCTTTAGCTCAGCACTGAAGCCGCTCCTGAAAGCACGGCGTTGAAGGCGCGCGCGTGGCGTTGGTAGCTTCGACCCCGCCGGCGACCTCGGCCCGGCGCGCGTTGGTCGCCGCCAACTGCGCGCCGAGACGCTTCGCCGTCGCCCAGGGATGCAAGGGGGGGCTGTCGTCGTCACCCCACGCCGCGATGCCCGTTGCACGCGCCCTGGCGCGCTTCAACCTTGTCTTGCTACCCACCCCCGCCGGCGCGGGGAGGAACTCGGTCTTCTCCCCGTTGGTCCTTGACCCTCACCCCCCCACATATGATCTCTCCCGTCGCAATCTCCTAGACGTGAGAAGCGTCATCGGACTCCTTGACCTCCGCGAACGTGAGTAGGTCATCCAGACCTTCAGCTGGGCCACGTCTAGGCGCTCGCACGAGTCCTCCTCCGAGCCATCGTTGCGCCTGATCCTCTTGAGCGTCGGGTCGAAGTGCGCCTTGATGACCGCAAACTCATTGTGCCTCAGCTGCTCCGCGACCTCCCCCACTGGCCCATCGTGGGCCGCGACGCAGAGGTCAGGGCTCTCAGCTCCACCTTGGCGCGCCCCTCGCTTTGCCCATATCCTGTCTGTAGGCTCGCGCGCATTCGCATCCCTGCGAAGGTAACGCGCGCCGTCGCGCAGTTCCATCGTCACCCCGGCGCCCCGCCTCACCTGCAAGTCCGTCATGCTCTGCCAGATGCCCCGGCGATTCGCCATGTCGACCGCCGCCTCGACGCCCGTCGGCACCGCGAGCAGCATCGGAGGGGGGGCCGAAGAGCTTCCCCGCCGATGTGCACGATGGGCCCTCTGATGTCGCGCAAAACCTTCACCTGCCACCGCCGCGGCATCGCGCGCGCCGCGCCCTGGTATCGCCCCAAAGTGCGTCGGCGAGATCCCGTGGGCCGCCTCGCGCATTGCGCCCAGCGTTGTCACCCTAGCATATGCCAAACCGACGTTGTTTGTCACATTTATGGTCCTGTAGTCCTTGGCTGCCGAGCTGCCGCCCCCTTTCGGCTTCCTCAGCTGCATCGTCTCCCCGTCCTTGAAC